ACTGATGAATGGGTAAAGAAAGTGTGGCATATACATATGATGGAATACTATCCATCCTTAAAAAAGAAGGAAGTCCTGTTCTTTGTGACAACATGGATGAGCCTGGAGGACACTGTGTTAAGTGAAATGAGCCAGGACAGAAAGACAAATATTGCATGGCCTCTCTTATGTGTAAAATCTAAAAACGTGACACTCTCAGAAGCAGGGAGCAGAAGGGTAGTTACCAGAGGCTGGGGGTGCTGGGTTGGGATGATATTGGTCAAAGGATTCAAAATTTCAGTTAAGCAGGAGGAACAAAACCAAGAGGTTCATTGTATAACATTGTGACTATAGTTAACAACAATGCATTGCATTCTTGAAAATTGCTAAGAAAGTAGACTTCAAGTGTTCTCACCACAAAAATAAGAAATATATGAGATAATACGGTGTTAATTAGCTTGATTTATCTATTCTGCCATGTATCCACAATGTCAAAATATCATGCTGCACATCAAATGTATGAATTACATACGTTTCATATTTGTCAATTAAAACAACAACAACCAAAAATTCCCCACAAGACTCCATATGGAAAACGATAAGATACCACACCATGTAAGACACTGAGCATGTGAACAATCCCTCCTCCAGCTCTGCTTTTCAAAGTGGAAGACCCACATCCAACTCATTCTGAAGGAGGTGGGTGACTATACTCCATGAATACCCAGGAATTTCCCAAGGCTGTGTGATGCCACAATGCTCTATCTGAAAGATTAGAAGACACCCTACTGAAATGCAATCAAAAGTGGAGGATAAATAAAAGCAGTTAAAAATTAGAAGGTCTGAGAGGCCAAGGGCACCCGGTCCCTTTCACTCCCAAGCTGAGGTGCATCATTTCATCTGCCTGAGATGAAGGCATCACTTCAACAGCACGTGGACAGAGCAGGCTTGTCAGAAAAGATGAGATGGAAGAAAAGTTCTTGGTTCTTCCTCTGTTTTGACTGTTAGGACAAACATGATCACTAATTGGCTTTTCAGCACATATTTTCATCTTATTTTTATTGATCAGTTTAGAAACTTTTATTACATTGTACAACTTCCAAGCTTTTCCCTTCAATTTTATATCTATTATCTATCTATCTATCTATCTATCTATCTATCTATCTATCTATCTATCTATCTATCTATCTATCATGTCTATCTGTCTATTATATCTGTCTATCTATTATCTATCTGTCTATCTATCAATAAATTATATATCTTTCTATCTATCAATCATCTGTCTATCATTTACCTTCAAAGATACACAGACTTATAAAGAATCAAATTTCTCTACAGGGTTTGCTATAACAAACATCCTGCACTATCCCTCCTTCCTAACCTAATTTACTGACTATTTTGGCATGTACCACCATATCTCTAAATGATATGCTTAGATTGTTACTTTAAAAAAAATTGATTTCCCACTACAGAAGCAGAGGACATAACTCTCTTTCCTTCCTCCACGTCTATAACACATGTTCTCCTTCCCATCCCCCTTCCTTTCAATAGTTATTTTCATTAAACCAATACTCAGGGTTTACTCTTCAGTATTGACTGCTTAAATGTCCTACAAGGTTGAAAATGCAGGAAACCACCATCATGGTGCCTTTCTTGCATGGCTATTGTTTTCTGGTAAGTAATGATGAACTTGTTTGGTAATTTGCCTGTTTTTCTAAATTCTTGTCACCAGCTCAGCCCCACACTCCACACCAGTTGCCTAAATTCTCTCACAAGATGTTGCATGTTTCAGATAGTCTCCCAGTTTGACTGGGGATATCTGTCCTGAAGCCTGGCTCTCAGATGTGCCCAGTGTCCCAAGCCCACAGACCCTCCCTTCCACCCTTTCCAGGATGAAGCTTCCTCACTCCCCATGGTTTGGGTGTGGCATCCTGCATACAGGGTGTGGAAGTGGGGATCTGACGGTTCCTCAGACTTCCCAACAGTATTCCTTGTTTTCCTTGGAGAGCATCATCTTAGGTCTGCTCATGCATTGCCCACAGATCCATCTCTTTCTGGTGCCCCAGTTTTTGTGCCGCCATCTTTTCTTTTGTCTTCCACATCTTGATGCACTGGGGCCTCTAACACCTCTTTTTGCAGTTGCTTCTCTGGGGTTTTTAGTAGGGAACAAATGCAGAAGTGCGCACTCAACCAGTTCTTGCTATTCTTGAGAGTGTTCTAGAAATCAAATTGCAGACACCCAGGCAGGTGCTGTAAGCGGGTATTTTAGCAACTCTGCTTATACAACCACCACCAGCAAATGCTCATCTGTAACTTGTGAGAACTCAGTCCCTTCTGCCTCAGGTGAGTCTCATGCCAGGTGGGTAATGGGACTGAACAGCTGTGCCCTGCCCCCCATGTAACCTTTCTAATTCCAGGCTTACTCAGTATGATGCCTCCTTGATGGTCTGTGGCCGTTCTTAGGTCCCAGATACCTGAGAATCACCAAGGTCAATCGATACTTCTGTCATGCTCTGTTACAGCTGATCAATAAGGACAAGGAGGCAGTGAGGTGGAAGCAAAGTGTTTTATTAAATCCAACATTGGTCTTGTATTGGCCCCAGGACTTCAGTAGTGTTTGTAAAACTCCCATATCCTTCCCATCTACCTTGTCTTATTCTAGTTGGCAAGAACTGTTTGCATAGAAACACCTGCATACTCCTTCCTCTCATTCTCCAAGGAATCCCTCCTTGAAGACCTGGGTGCTAGATCACTGCCACTAGACTGTGTGATCTGCATGCCACACCCCTGTGGACATCTCTTACTTGCAAGGGGAGCAGTCAGGTCCTCAAGCTTGTCCTCCACAGGCCACGATGAAAATTTTTGTTTTTTGAGTTGGGATCCCACTCTGTCACCCAGCCTAGAGTGCAACGGCAAGATTACTACAATCACAGCTCACGGGAGCCTCCAACTCCTGGTCTCAGGTGATTCTTCCACCTCAGCATCTTGAGTAGCTGGGACTGCAGGCACATACCACCATGCCCAGCTAATTTTTTGATTTTTTGTAAAGATGCGGTCTTGGTATGTTGCCCAGGCTAACATTTTTTTTTTTTTAATGTGATGGCTTTTAGTGATGGAGGGAAAACTACTCTACAGCTTTCCATAGTGAGAGCTACTTCCTGTTACGGCATTGAGGCCAGGCTGCTGGGCATGTTCTGAGGACTGACCATACCTGACTGCATTTACGGTTTCGTGCACAATGACAAGATGTGCTTTCATATCCCTTTTTGTACGACCCCCACTTGAGTTTGTGAATACTGCAAATGACATCGGCTCAAACACCCTAGAATCCTGGGGGTGGCAGATGTAGACCAGCTGTGTAACTACTAGAACCAGGAGGAAATGATAAAACACAAGGATTTTTCTTTCCTTCTCTCTGTATATTTTTCTTTGATTGACTCCTGAGAGCTAGTGGACTCCTCCTCCTGTCTCCATTTCCTGAACAAACATCAGTGCCAGTGATAGCAATGCCACCCCCTTCTCCTTTCTTGTTTCAGTTGACATGTTTGTCATATTTAGATTGTAAATTTCCATGGGGTATGATGGCCTTGGGTTCTTAGCTTTCTCTTCTAAATGTTTATCTAGATAATTTTTGCTGTATACACAGCTCATGGAATGGAAACATTCCTCATTTTTATTTGGGCTTTTTGGGGGGGAAGTAGGGAGTCACAGAGCATACTGTGCTGACCCTCAGTAACTTTTGGAGCTCGGCTATCAAAGGGGAAGTTAATGACACAGTGATGCAGGGGGCAAGGGGTCAGGATTGGCAGTAGTGGGAATCTGCTGGGGGCGGGGCACCCCTCATCAACAAGGGCACCTGCATAATGAACATTTGTATACTTAACCCTGAATTGTACCCCACATCTTTAAAGTAAAAAATTTTTTTAAAAGACACAGCGATAAGACATTCTTTCCTAGCGATTTTGTCAGCATATCCTTGAGCATTTTTCAGATCACACATTTGATCTGATAATCCAAAAGACAACACCACAACCACCCTGAGTCACAGCAAGAAAGAATGCATGGCACATGAACAGTGAACAAACAAGCAGAAAGAAGGGGTAAGATAAAATATTTATACCACGAGAAGCCAAAGGAGTGACTGCGTCAGTTGAATATGACTACTAGGTAAGTGAGGGTCACAGGAGTTTCAAGTTTAAACCAAACAGAACAAGGGACAGCTGTCACAGCTCTTCTTATTAGGCTGGCAAGCTGTGATTCATTGTTGGAATTCTGGGAACTGCTTGGATGCCAGGAAAGAGTGTGAGGCTGGAAGGGGTAGAACAGAAATAATTTCTGAAGATCTCTCACATGTTATCTGTGTAGAAGCAGTTTTTCCATACATTCCCCATGGTATTTTATTTGAGAGAAGGACCTGCAATAATAGTTTGGACAAAGTAGCTAGTCAACTAAGAAGCTTGATTGATGAGCTCAGAGTTAAGGAGACCAGGAGGGGGAAATATTTGGGGAGGAGCCCAGAAACACCAGGTGGAGATTTTTATTTGTTTATTTTGTGTGTGTGTTTTTTTTCTTTTAGGCACCAAAATTTTTATTGACCCGCCTTCCTGCTTTCTTTTAACATAATAAACATTATAAACCAAATTACTCTTTTTGACCCAGGGTTGTGATAGGAACTATCACGTTCAAAGTGGTATCAGATCTATGTGTGCTTTTATATTTTTCTGGCCCCTCTCAACCTCTGGCTGTCACTTCTCTTGTCCTTTCTCAGTTGTCCCTTAACAGTCCATTCCAATCCCTGTAAAATAGGGACTATAAGTACCAACCTCATTGTTACAGGTTTAAGAGAAGGCCCAGCACTAAGACAGACTCTCAGGATCACTCAAGCTCCAACAATTCCTCGCTGCCCTTCAATATAGCTCCTTACCATCTGTTATGGGCTGAGGAACCACTGAACCTATAAACCAAGCACATGGGTGTTAAGTCCATAGGCCAGGTCCTCAGTGGTACAGTACACAGGCTTTGTGAATGACCACCACTACCAACTTCAGGCCTAAGGAAGGACTGACCCAGGGAGCAGTTCCAAGACCACTGAGCTCATGGTTCCCTTGTACTTCCATCACAACCAGGGCCTCTCAATTCCCCCTGCCATATTTGGAACAGAAGGAAGGACAGAGGCCAAAAACTGAGTTACCAGCCCCAGGGATTCAATAGGGGATACTGACAAACCAATCATAAAGTTGGTGCCATTTACTCTGGGGAGGAGATGAGGCTTGAACAAGGACAGCAGCTGAAATGTGAAGGACAGGTCTGTCTCTCAGTAGCGGTAGTGTTCAGGCTTGAAGGGGCCGTCACGAGACATGCCCAGGTACTGGGCCTGTTTCTCAGTCAGCTTGGTCAGCTTCACGTTCAGCTTGCCCAGGTGAGCTTCAGCCATGGCCTCATCCAGCTTCTTGGGCAGGAAGTGAACCCCAACAGGGTACTTGTCTGGATGAGTCCACAGTTCAATCTGCACCATCACCTGGTTCGTAAAGGAGTTACTCATCACGAAGCTGGGGTGGCCCATGGCACAACCCAGGTTGACCAGACAGCCCTCAGCCAGCAGGATGATGCGGTGCCCATTCTTCAGCCGGTAGCTGTCCACCTGGGGTTTGATGTTCACCTTCTCCACAGCATTCTCATTGAGCCACCTGACATCAATCTCCACGTCAAAGTGTCCAGTGTTACACACAATGGAGTCATCCTTCATCTGCTCAAAGTGCAGGCCAAGGATGATGTCAACACAGCCTGTGGTGGTAACAAAGATATTGACCTCCTGACAGGCCTCATCCATGGTGGTTACCTCATAGCCCTCCATAGCAGCCTGCAGTGCATTGATGGGGTCGATCTCAGTGATGATGACACGGGCTCCAAAATCCCGCAGGGCCTGTGCACAGCCCTTGCCCACGTCGCCATATCCTGCTACCACTGCCACCTTGCCTGCAATCATCACATCTGTGGCCCGCTTGATGCCATCTATGAGGGACTCCCGGCAGCCACAGAGGTTGTCAAACTTGCTCTTGGTGACGGAGTCATTGACATTGATAGCGGGTACCTTCAGGATCCCATTGGTCATCATCTTGTATAGGTTGTGGACCCCAGTCGTGGTCTCCTCAGAGATGCCTCGAATGCCTGGCAGGAGCTGTGGGTACCTGGTGTGGATAAGGTTGGTGAGGTCACCACCGTTGTCCAGAATCATGTTGAGGGGCCCATCCTTGAAGTACAGTGTCTGTTTGATGCACCACAGGTACTCTTCATCCGTTTTGCCCTGGGATGCCAGCCCTGGAAATGGCAGCTGCTGCATGGTCCTGAGTAGAGAAGATGTTGCAGCTGGACCACTGTACCTCAGCACCCAGGGTGACGAGGGTCTCTGTGAGGACAGCAGTCTCCACAGTCATGTGCAAGCAACCAGCAATGCAGGCACCCTTCAGTGGTTTGGAGGCTGAGTACAACTCTCGCATGAGCATCAGGCCGGGCATCTCATTCTCTGCGATGTCCAGGGCCTTGTGCCCCACAGGTGGCCAGGCTGATGTCAGCGACTTTGTAGGGCAGTTTGTCAGACATTCCGGCTGTGTTTCCGCATGGGCGGCGGGCCCAGATGCGGTGGGAGGTGGTACAAGCGGGCGGGCAGTATTTTGTGGTTTTTAAAGACAGGGTCTTGCTCTGTGGCCCAGGCTGGAGTGCGGTGGCACGCTCACAGCTCATTGAAGCCCAGACTCCTGGGCTCAGACAGTCCTCCTGCCTCAGCCTCCTGAGTAGCTGGGACTACAATTGTGCACCACCACACCCTGCTAATTTTTTTTTCCCAATTTTTTTGTAGAGACAAGGTCTCTCTATGTCACCTAGACTGGTCTTGAACTCCTGGGCCCAAGTGATCCTCCTGCCTCAGCCTCTCAAAGTGCTGGGATTATAGGTATGAGCCACTGTGCCAGGGATTATTGTGAAATGGATTGTCAACACATAGACATAGAGGAATGGGATGGACCCAACCAATCCCATGAACGTTCTGGGCGTCACCAATAGTGAGCCATATCAGGAAATGCAGAGACATAGATGGAAATTGGAAACCTTGCCTCAAGCAATGTGTCCTAGGGAAGCAGCACTGAGTATAAGAGAAGCTTGTGCAGTCCAAATGAGGGACAGCTGTCTCCATGAGATCATGACAGAAGCAGAATGAAGGCTCGGCTCCATGACACAGTGGCTGTGATGCATCAGTGTCCACGCCATGCCAAGCCTTGTGTGCCCCCACATAAGCAACCACATTTCTTAGCAATCAGTATTAGTGAACACTGATTTGGTGTTACTAAATCCCAGGCCGATATCATTTTGTCTAACTTTCACTTCCAGGGTGAAGCACGTATACTGTGTTTTCTATGTTACAGATGAGGAAGTCACTCATGGAAGAAATCTGCACATGACAAACTTGAGCAATAGTTAAGAGTGCGGCACGATGTGGGGCTCACAACGTGTGGACAAAGAAGAATGTGAAGGAAGATAAACTAGGAGAATTTGGCCTCAGACCAAATAAGCACAAAGGATAACAGCTAAATGATTACTCTGTGAGGCTTCTTGCATATGACATTGGCAATTTTCTAGAAATGATGCCTTTGGCAGGGAAACAGGATAGCATATTACATCCACATTTGTACTGATGTTTTGTTTTGCTTTATAGATTATAAAATGACAGACAGACAATATAAAACATGGAGTCTAACTATTAGTAATGAGCACCCGTGTGTCGATTTCCAGTGTGAGAAACAGAAAATGTACATAAGCCTTCCCTGATTCCCTCCCCTGTGCTCCCCTCAGAGGTAGCCAGGAGCTGGATTTTGTGTTAATCATTTGCTTTTCTTTATGGTTAACATGCGTATATGTTTCAAAATATACGTAAAAATGATCCTGCTTATAAACTTCATATAAGTGGCATGACACTGCATGTGTTTTCTGTAATGAACTTTCCATCTCTACTTCTCATCCACGTGGACACACACGGACACTTGTTTCTTGCATATGAGAGGCATATGTAAAGATAGCACAACTGATCTACCTGTTCCAGTTCAAAGGACAACTGCGTGATTTCCAGGTTACTGCTGCCATGAATCAAAATCAAAGCTGCCATGAATGCTCCTGTGCATGTCGCCTGGTATGCAAGGCATGCTCTTCCTATGTTTTTTTAGGCTGGAACCACCACACTCATGCTGATGTCATGTTACGTGGTGATGGTGCACATCCTTGCTGTATTCCTAATTTTAAAGGGGCTTTTAAAAATATTTCACCATTAGGTACCATGTTTGCCACACATTTATTGTAATATACTTCATCAGGTTAAGAATGTTTCATTCTATTCCTAGTTTGCTAAATTCTTTAAAATCTTGAATTGTTATATAATTTTATTGAATGATTTCTTGCTGTCTATTGAGATTACTTGATTTTTGTACTTTAATGAGTTGATATGTTGAATTATACTACATAATTTTCTAATAATTAACTAACTTTGCTTTCTAGAATAACCCCAAATTTATCATCTATTTATATATTATTATTTTTAAAATCTACTTTTAAGAGGGTTTGCTAGTGCTCTGTTAACTTGCCAATGTTCTAGGCATTTGAAGGGTATATAATTTTCCTATACTTCCTGTGTCAAATTTTGGATCCAAGGTTAACACTGCCATTGTAGAATACATTCGGGGATATTTTCTACTTTTCTATTTTCTAAATAAGTTATGTATTTTGGAATTGAAGATTTGGTGAATCTCATGCAAAATCTTTTGGTCTGGTGTTTTCCAGTGGGAAAAACTTAATTACTGATTTTATTTCTTTCATGATTATAGAATCATTCAGATTTTTCTGTTGTTTCTTAAATTAGTTTTGGTAATTTATATGTTTTTAGATTATTCATTTTATCTAAATTTATACATTTGTCTGCATAGTCTGTTACATTGCCTTCTTATCTGATAAGCTTCCTGTTCATATGCAATTATAGATCCCTTATGTCTGTTGCATTGTTTGCTAATCCATTTTGTGTGATGTGTGCATATGATCAGAGCAATCTTGTTAATTCATTATTCTTTACAAAGAATCTACTTTTGGTGTTGTGATCCACTTTCTAGTTTTGTTTTCTGTTACTAGCTTTTTGTTCTCTAAATTTTTCCCCATTGCTTATGGATTTATTCTGCTGCTCTTTTTCTGTTTTTCAGTTGATGATTCACTCATATTTTTCCTAATATAAGCATTCAAGGTTATACATTTCTCCATATTACTTCAGCTTCATCCCACATCTTTTTGCTAAGTAGTACTGTATTATCATTTAATTTCCCTAATTTCATTATGATGCAATCTTTGACTGATATATTACTTAAAAGTAGATTTTTATGTTTCCTTATTATGCATTATCTTTTTATAATTGACTTGTTTATGTTCTGTATAAATATTTATTAAAATTTATTGAGGCTTGTTTTATGTTCTAGAACATTACTAATTTTTATCAAATTCCTGTGTCTCCCTCAAGGAAATAACCACTCTCTAGCTGTTGAAACAATGTTGTATATACATCTCTGAGGCCAAACTTATTCATTGCATTGTTCTAGATTTCTAAATTCTACTAAAAGCCATATATAAAAATTTCCTACTTATAATGTGAAGTTGTGTATTTCTTATTGTAATTCTGTGAATTTGCCTTTACTATTTGAAACTATGTTATTTAGTACATATAAATTCAACACTAATATAGTTTCCTGCGGAATGTAAACTTTAAAGAAAATGTGGTATACCTCTTTACCTCTAGTATATATATTTTTTGTTTTTAATTCTATTTTAAAATTTTTGTCAGCATTTTTCTTTTTTTTTTCTTTTAAAGGTGTTGAGTACAATTAAGGTTTGTGGTCATTGTATAGGTAAAGTTTGGGCCTCCCTTTGGTCCCCACTTCACCTGGTTTGAGATCAGGTACCATTATTGATGACATGTGTCTCTCCTTCTCCCCCCCACCACCACCTGGCAGTTTTCCACTACTGCCAATCTCATTCTTTTTTTTTTTTTTGTGAGTTGGAGTCTCACTCTGTCACCCAGACAGGAGTGCAGTGGCTGCTCCCGGCCACTGCAGCCTCGACTTGCTGGGCTCCAGCGATCCTTCTGCCTCAGCCTTCCAAGTAGCCAGAATTACAGGTGTGCGCTACCACGCCTGGCTAATTTTTTTATTTTTTTAATTTATTGTAGAGATGAGATCTCACCAAGTTGCTCAGGTGGGTCACCAACCTGCGGGCTCAGGCAATTCACTCACCTCGACTTCCCAAAGCGCGGGATTACAGGCTGAGCCACCGAGCCCGGCCACCAATCCCATCCTTATAGTATTATGATAATTGTTCAGAGTCTGCTTATGAGAGAACATGTAGTACTCAGTCCTTTGTGTCTGTGATAGATCACTGAGTATTATAGACTCTAAATCCATCCAAATTGCTGTGAAGTTCATAATTTTGTCCTTCTGTATGACTGTGTAATATTCCATTGTGTATATGTACCACATTTTTAAAAATCCAGTCCACTTTCTGTGGGCAGCAAGGTTGGTTCCATGTCTTTGCTATTGTGAATAATACTGCAGTAAACATGTGTGTGCAGGTATCTTTTTCATAGAAAGACTTGTGTTCCTCTGGGTATATCTCCAGAAGGGGGATTGCTGGGTCACATGGAAGGTCGATTTTTAGATCTTTTAGGAGTTGCCACACTGTTTTCCACAGAGGTTGTACTAGTTTACACTCCTACCAACAGTGTAGCAGTGTTCCCTTTTCCCCACATCCTCTCCAGGATCTGTTGTTTTTTGAGTTATTAATGATGGCCATCCTGACTGGAGTTAGGTGATATCTCAGTGTTGTTTTAATTTGCATTTATTTGATTATTAGTGAGGCTGAGCATTTTTTCATGTATCTGTTGGCTGCTTATATGTCTTCTTCTGAGAAGTATTTATTCATGTCTTCTTGTCTTCTGCCCAATTTTTTTTATTGAGTTGGAGTCTCACTCTGTCGCCCAGACTGGAGTGCAGTGGTTGCTCCTAGCCACCGCAGCCTCGACCTGCTGGGCTCTGGTGATCCTTCCACCTCAACTTTCCAAGTAGCCGGAATTACAGGCATGCGCTACCATGCCCGGTTGATTTTCTGATTTATTGTAGAGATGAGGTCTCGCTGCCCAGGCAGGTCTCGAACCCGCGGGCTCAGGCAATCCACTCACCTCAGCCTCCCAAAGGCGCGGGATTACAGGCTGAGCCACCAAGCCCAGCTCTGCCCAATTTTTAATGAGGTCGTTTGTTTGTTTCCTTTCGGCATGTTTGAGTTCCTTGTAGATTCTAGATGTTAGGCCTTTGTCGAATGTACAGTTGGAAAATATTTTTTCCTATACTGTGGGCTGTTTCCCCACTCTCTTGATGGTTTCTTTTGCTTTGCAGAAGATTTTCAGTTTGATGAGGTCCCACTTGTCTATCATGTCTTACGACATAGCATTTGGAGTTTGATCAGGAATTGGTTGCCAATACCAACTTCCATAAGGGTGTCTCCTGCATTTTATAAGGTTCTTATAG